AGAAGGAGGAGGAGGAGAATGGAGAAGATGGGGAAGGAGAATGAAGAAGGAGGATGAGAAGGAGAGGAAGGAGGAGGAGGAGGAGGAGGAGGAGGAGGAGGAGGAGTAGGAGGAGGATGAGGAGGAGGAGGCCGAGGAGGAGGTGGAGGAGGAGGAGGAGGAGGAGGAGGGAGAGGAAGCTCACCAAGGGGAAATTGCCGCCAGGGTTAAAGGCCTGGCCAGGAGCAGACCCGTGAGCACGCATAGTCCTCCTGGAGCGCAGGGATCGGATTGGCCGAGGCGGCGTGCGCGGGAGGAGGAGGAGGAGGAGGAGGAGGAGGAAGGAGGAGGAGGAGGAGAAGGAGGAGGAGGCGGAAAAACAGCCGATTGGGGCTTAACCCCTCTTAGTACGCCCCCCAGGCGTTCTGGTTCAAGGCGTTGTTATACTTGCTGATGAACTCCTGCTGGGCGGAATGGGAGAGGGGTCTGAACTTCCAGTGGCAATTTCAAATTTCCGAAGGGATGACTTCAAAACTTTTGCCCCCGACCCCATTCGGCTCCGTGAGATCGTCTCAACCAGATCCCCCCTTCAAATTATGTTTTCCAGGTTCACCACGGACGTCGGTATCAGTGACCTTCGTCAAACTCGTGTGCTTCCGTCCTCCTCCTCCTCCCCCTCCTCCACCTCCTCCCCCTCCTCCTCATCCGCTCTCCGTCCGCATCCGTCCTCCTAAATCATCCGTCCTCATCTGTCCTCGTCAGTCCTCATTCTTTTTTGGGATACAGCTCCTGCGCGTCGGTGTTGCCCACGTCGATCTCGCCGTTCTTCGCCTTGGTCAAGTAGCGGTTGAACATGCGCGTCCTGCTCGCCTCCAGCTGTTTCTCCTATGGGGTCGAGGGCGAACGACGCAAGCGTCAGCACCCCATCCCTCCACCAGCATATGATGTCGCCTCCAGGTGAGCGTATGCTGATAAAGGGATGGCGTGGACGATCACACATTTTGCGGCTGCAGGAGGCTCCTTGCGGGACCTCGGGCCGCGTTTCTTCGGGCCATGGTTGCTCAAAGCCAGGTGGTCGTCGAACCCCCCCTCGGCCCCCGTGGCCACCAGCGCCATCCCGGCCCCGTCTAGCTCACCAGCGACAGGCTGCTCCCCAGAGCGCCGTAAGTGCTGGAGCCATAAGCTCTCACGGAATCCTCACCCTCGTCTCTTGGGCTCTCTGGGTTGTCTTCGAGCATCGCGGGGCTCATGGTCTCAGGGCTCTCGGTGATGCTTTTGGGTGTCCAATGGTGGCCCTGGGATTATTGGATTGCCTTCGGGTGTCCGTCGGTGTCTTCGGATGTCTCGGGATGTCTTAGGGTGTCCTGGGGTGTCTTCGAATGTCTTGGGATGTCTTGGGGCGTCTTGGGGTGTCTTGGGGTGTCTTGGGATGTCTTGGGGTGTCTTGGGATGTCTTGGGATGTCCTGGGATGTCTTGGGATGTCTTGGGGTGTCTTGTGATGTCTCGGCGTGTCCGTGGATGTCTTGATGGGTCCCGATGCGTTCTTAAACGTCGTCAGGTCATGCATGATGAGGATGATGATCATGTCGCTGCGACATTTGCGCTAATCGATACAACGATGATGATGCTGATGATGGTGGTAATGTTTATGATAATGATGATGATGATGATGAGGACGAGGATGAGGATGATGATGATGACGAAATGTGTTCTTGATACAACGATGATGATGAAATTGATGACGCTGATGATGATAACCGATCGTTGATGACGATGTTGGTGACGATGATGGTGGCGAGGATATTGATGTTGATGGTGACGGCGATGATGATGATCATGATGATGACGACGATGTTGATTGGTGATGTTGATGATGATGTTGATGATGATGCTGATGGCGATGTTGATTTGCGCTAATCGATACAACGATGATGATGATGATGATGTTGATGGTAATGATGATGATGATGACGATGATGATGATGATGATGATGCTGATGATGGTGATGATGATGATGGCACTGGTGTTGACGGTGGCAACACTGGTATTATTGGCGCCAAAAACCGCCCCCCAAATGCGCGAGAAAGCAACCACATCACATTATTTGGTGTATGGGATGGTTTCATGCGTGCGTTGGCTAGTTTGTGTTTATTTCTTGGTGTTTGCCATGCGTTGTTACTGCTTTCTTGGCAATTATCACCGCTACGCCTCAAGCAGCGCACTCATTTTTGTAACATTTCCAATGGATATCATGTGGCTGTGTCGGGTTATAACAGTTCGGTCCAATATCGATGAGGTTGTTTGTGGTTTTGCTGAGCGGGGGCGCCGAACTTGGCGTCTCTATGTGTCTTGATGTGCCTCGATGTGTCTCGATGTGTCTCGATGTGTCTCGATGTGTCTCGATGTGTCTCGTTTTTCGGGTTCGATGTGTCTCGATGTGTCTCGATGTGTCTCGATGTGTCTCGATTTGTCTCGATGTGTCTCGATGCGTCTCGATGTGTCTCGATTTGTCTCGGCCTGATGTCTCAATTTTTCGGCGTCTGCGAAGCCGTTTCTGAGTTGATGGCGCTCCTTGGGGATGGGG